GCCGTCACACCGGCCATCGGCCCCACCAGCTCAACAGCCGGAACCCATCCAGAGAGGGGTGAAACGAGACCAACATTTGGTGAGGGGGGTGGAGGGGGGACGAAGCGGACTGAGAGGATTAAACCAGGACAGGACGAGGGGACAGGTAGACTGAGATGAGAGAGTTACAAACCAGGCTGGGGCAGGGTGGAGGAGACAATAAGAGGACCCGACACAGAAGGAGACACAGAGAGGGCACATTAAAATGCAAAAATCATAGTAAATAAGGTGGAATAACTGAACTGAAAGTGAATAGCCATGAAGGTTGAAAACATTTCCTACACTTCTTGTCAATTTTGATTACTTTAAGGAGGTATGTTCAACTATTTGCAAAATGAAAGCCAAAGAAAGTCTGCTGTTTTGGTATAAACTTCCTTAACATTCAATGTGATATATAATCAATATTTCATCCAATAACCAATTGATGTATGTTAAACATATACATATTGAGAAATCAATTCTTAAAGTACGTCCAAAAGTGTAAGAACTCATGGTATATCATCTTCTTTTTAAATTATTATTATTTAACACCAAATATACAGTCTTACAACTTGAATTGTTAGCAAGACAGCTCAGAATAGTTTGCAGCCAATCACTCATTAAGAAAAGTTTGGGGAACATGGGTCTGTGGATTTCTTCTACTCTCACTTACGTGTAGAGATGTAATGTAAAAAAACTGTAAAAACTCAAGACACATCCAATCATTGTTTTAAATTTTTGTTTTTGGTAATTGTGCCGCTTATAAAATGCCACTACACTTAAACATTCCAAACACAATTTCCCTGATTAAAATCTTCTTTTCTCTGAACAACAAACACTATAAAGACCTAAAAAATTTAATTTAACAGCGATTAACAAAACACCAGCAAATTCTCCCATTAAAAGCAGGTCCCTGCAAATGTCTGGTGTCCTATAATATAAATGAAACATTAATTATTAAGGAGCTACTGATTACTTTTCCTGACAATTTTCTCAAACGTAATCACCTCCCAGTTTAAGGTTTTACAGGAAAATTAATACCCTTTGGTCGGCGCCAATTAAAGTGACATTTGCCCTGATTACATCTCATGGTTTTATATGTTTAATGGACAGAGAATGAGGTATTCTGACAGAGCAGAGTGGGCGATAGCAGGATAGGGCACAAAGTATGCAATAAAGTGAAGAAACAACAAATATTTTAAAAAATATATAATTTAAGCCGAGGATGGAAAGTGGGTTGGACCTAACGGCACAAAGCAGTAGAAACTCTAGCCTCATGAACAGTAAAATGAGAAGACACAGAAGAGGCGACAAGACGATGGAGGTGAAGCCGTAAGGAGGACAGAGGTGAAAAAAAACAAGAACATATCATGGTTATAGAAGAGGGGATGAAGAGTGCTGTTCTCAAGAGATATAAGTAAGGAAATGAGGGCTTCACTCTAAGATAATAAAATGACAGTAGTGAGTTTGGCCACAGATGACAGCTCTTCAATACACGAGCACAGTGTAGACGCTGCACACCCTCCTCCCTCGCTCTTCTTTTATCCAGGACACACCATCAAATGATGTCCTGATTTCTGCTGCATTAGTAATTAATATTTTCCTCTGCGGTGAATTCATTTATTGTGTTTTTCCCTTGAATAAGAGGAGTGAGTGTATGATTGAGTAAATTTGGGGAAATAAACGCCAGAGATACAATTTCACCAAAACACATTTCTGTGGTAGCATGGACAAAAGTGAAAACCTAAATAAAGAAAAATAAATAAATATTTTGGGACAGTAAATTACTTCCCGTAATATTTGTCAACTTGTGGGAAACATCCAGGAGACTCTCTCTTTTTCTTCTTTTATTATTGATTCTCTCCCTGCTTCTCCTTGGTTTTAAGAGGTTATGAGAGGATAAAAAAAGAGGGAGACAAGCCTGGATCTTTTTACACAGTGGAGCCAGACAGCTGGAGCCCAGAGCGGGGGAAGGAGTGTGGGCAGGCTACAGACCGTTTTCCCAGCACAGATACGGAGATATTGGAACGCGGTGGCCATTAATAACAACTCAGTTGTCATCTGCACAGTCATTGACCCTGAGACCAGTCAATATGTGAGGAGAGAGGGAGGAAAACATTCTGTGTGTGTTCCTTCATGTGTGTGTGAACACGTTTTTGTTGACTTTTCAGGACCTTTTCTGACATCAACGCAAAACCTTGTCGAGACCAAAGCCTGGACTTAATGAGGGTGAACTTCACTTAAGCGTTGCAGATGCTGATAAAACAGTTATGTCTATAGTTACTGATCAACAGAAATCTGACTTTGATTAGGCTACACACCTTAGGGATCAGAAAATGGTCTTATAAAGCCCAACCTCAAAGTTGAATGTCTAAATGGAACGAAGATGTGAAGCTTAGTCCCTGACCGTTACAGTTAAGGTTCAGGTTAGGGTTTTTGTTTAAGATGTACAAATGATGGAGGCCAGTTCAATGACGTAGAAATGTTTGCATTTGTGCAAAAAAGAGAATTTAGGACAATTAATAATGATTAAGGCCTAACCAGGAACTCTCTGGGTCAGAACCTAATTTTTGTGGTTCGGTTAAATTAAAAATACACGAGTATTGTTCCTGGCTTATTGTCAAAGCGAGGTGTTAGTTATAATAATGAAGGTTAGGGCTGATTGATTGAAAAAAGGGTATTAATTAGAATTATTTATTTAAATTTGTGATCACAGGTGGATAAAGGTGAAAAAAGACTGCCGTCTTAACTTAGAACCACACTATCTATAAATATTTTGGTTCTGTCAAAAAAAAAAAAACTCAAAGAAACTGAAGATATTCAGTTTGCTGTAATTGAAGCTGAGTAATACTAGAAAATATTCAATGTTAAGATTTAAATCTGAGAACTTGTTTTCATTGTTTTGAAAGTAATGTATTCTGTGACACAGCCTAAGAGCTAACGTACAGTGTATGTATTATTGACCGTCTAGAAACACCTGCAATATTTCACAGGGAATGTACTCTACACACATGTAAAATAGAATAAAAATTTAGAAAACTGACACTAGTTACACACGTACTTTAAAATAAAAATTTAGAAAACTGACACTAGTTAGGATAAAGAGAGTATAGTTAGTAAGTGTGTGTGTGTGAGCGTTATTCCTTGTAGGTACATCAGGTGTTCCAGATGTATATGGCAGTGAAATATGTGTATAAATGTGAAACACATTTTATTGTGACCACAAACATTGCCTGGTATAATGTAATACTGTATCTATGTGTGAGTGTTTTAACATCTGTGTCTTTGTGTGTCTAACACGAGGATTAATTCAGTTTGTGGTTAGCACCACCCTTTGGTGGTGCCGAGTATTGTCTACTGTATCATCTACAGACCAACCCTTATATGTGTAGTTCCTGTTAATTAACCTCTGTGGATGAGGGCCACGTGAATTATGGAGGACGTATGTTTTGGTTGCAAACCTGGGGATGATTTATAACATGATCTGTGCTGGGTTTTCTTTACCGCAGTATTCAAAATAAGAATGGTTCAGATGGGATAAAAAATAGAAGGTGTTTAACACTGAATCTCGAGGTATTATCTCTTCCGAAGATAAGAAGTGAGGAAAATGAAAATGAAAATACACAGTGTTTATAGATTACTGTCAGGAAGAATTACATTTCTAAAGAACCCTGAAGAATCTTAGATGGATATCGGAATAAATCTGAGCATTCCGGAGAAATGGAAGAGACAACTAAGACTGAGACGTGTCAGGAAGCATTAGCGTAGAGAATAACGTAAGAGGGACCAAAATAACATTAATGCCAGGAGAATGATAACAATTTTAAAAAAATCATATCTCAGTTATTCCTACAATTCGATAAATGTGCCTTTTGTTTAACAGTAATCACCATATTTCATGCTGTCACTTTCTATCTAATTGCTCGCCTTGGAAACATGCTTCTCTGCAAATGCCGCTGTCCCACTGAGCACAGGAAAAAGACAGACACACACCAATTAAATGTAGCACAGTACTAGTTTTAGTTACCTGCACACCCTGAGCACATGACAAGTTAATTCTTTGCAATCATGTTATTCCTCACAGGACCATCATTACAAGGCCCCCGGATTGTGAATATTCTACATGTACATGGCAAACAATGCTCAATTACAGTCACGGGAGCCACTGTCAGCTCAAGGCGGAGGTTTCTTCAAAGTGCTCAAAATAAGATGTTCAGTTGTTGACAGTTCAGGACTGGAAATTACATCTGCAAATGGTGGTGTCCTACTGAGGTGTCAGTGCCAAAGAAAGTTTGGTTTTCCTACACTGTATGGCAGCTTTATTTCTATTCTCAGCTGAAATACTGCCAGACTGGTAAATGAGATGATCACAGGCATCCATTGTCTGACTGCCGAACGGAACTATTAACAAAATGATCAATTATCAGGCTCAGGTACAACTTCACGTCAAATAAACAGGTGCGAGTATACAGGAATAAACAAATGATATGGAGTATTTTGACATAACACAACAAGATTGACTTCAAACAACACGATCGACACAGAAATTCTACTGCAATATTAAACGAGCAAGTAATATGTTTGGTTAATAATAAAAATATGAATATGGTAAGTTTATGGGGTGTTAAAAGGACGACTATAACAAATATTACAATCTGATTTGAAAACCAATGTTTACACATCACATTTAAAACACAAATTCACTGAACTGTATGTGTCACTGAGAGAGGTTTTTCTAACAAGTACAGTGTTTTATCAATTGTATGACTGAATATTTCGCCTCAAATTTTTGACCTAAAACTTTGACTGAAAAAGCACAGATTTGTGCTGGGGCAAAGAGAAATGGTACCAAACACAGTGTGGGTTTCATGTACAAGGGTTTATAATTACGGTGGCCTTTAGTGGGACTTTGGTTTGGACTAAATTCTATGTAATATTTCTATATTGGCAGGTTTTCAGGGGTGGGAAATGTGAGTACTCACCAAATATGTGTACTCACCAAGCAGCAGAGCCTTCAGGAGACCTTTCCAGCTGGTTGTCATTTTCTTTAGTGGATCCCTGAAGAAATGAGATTTGAGTTTGAGAAATCATTTTCAAAACAATGACAAAACTTACTGTAGTAGCAATGAAGATGAATCACTTTAGGCTTGTCCCTTAGTCAAGGGTCACCACAACAGGAGTTTGCATTTTCAGTTAGCAATGTAACAGATTTAAAAACGGTAAAGTCAGCAGGTATCTTTTTTGTTTGTCACCGGGGGACAGGCAGGTCTTTATTTCATCTTCCGTACTCTGGGTTGAGAGTTGTCCACTCTACTGGTCTTTGAACATTATGGTAAAAATGTGATGTTTATGCTCTTCGTATCAGTAGTAGGTTTTGGAGATTTTAACTACTTTGAATCTAGTCTTTCAAAAAGACACTAACACTAGGAAATATATTTGACTTTTAAACTTTCTAAACTTTTAAAGATTTGTTTACTCCATCTTCAGCTTTGATGGAGGAAGTTCTAACTTGCTTGTCATGTGAGAATCTAAACTCTGTCTGCAGACAGAAACCCATATGTCCAACTTGCTTAGTTTGGCTACAGAACCATGAACCACCCAAAGGTCTCCCTAATTAAGTAAGTTATAACTCAGGCACTTTTGGTGCAGTTTTTTAAAGCAGTTAAAGAAAAGTTTATTCGCTTCCCTGAAGTTCTTTGCACTTTGTTGTGCTTTACCATCAACTCTTAAAGTGAAGAGGCTTAGCTTGTTTCCCCCTGAGACCATCCACCAGATTTCCCTTTGCACATTTCCGCAGGACTACTGAGAATGGCGAGTGATAACGTGGTTTAGGATGCTAACACCTCACCATTAACATGTGGCCAGTCCTAGCGCCCTCTCATCAGCACCCAGAGGGTTTCTTCCTCTGAAATGCTCTTTTAGCAGCCCGCTGACAGGCGGCCGCTTGGCTTTCTAGTTAATTAAAGGGAAAAAACATGGCCTTAACTGGTGCATGGTCGCACCCAGCCTGCATAATGGGACGTAATTAACTTCCCCTCATCGTTACTACACTTCAAAGGGTCGGTTTTGAGTCAGCCATGCAGAGATGAGCAGGCACACACACATCCACAGTACAAGATGTGTATTTATTAAGGTTGGTGTAAGCACAGAAAAGCCTAAAGAAAGAGAATCCTAAAGCCATCCTCTGGGAGTTTACATTCAAGAGATTGAACTGTCAGGTAGGTCCTGGAGAAAGCTTGTTTCCTTCTGCAAATGTAAGTGTTGATAACATTAGGACACATAGACACACACACACAGTGTGCACAGTAACACTGAGATCAGAGCTGCACAGGATTCTCTGTGTTGCTTCCTCTCAGTTAATCTGCATCACTGCCTCCTCTTACTGCAGACATGTAACCAAGAAACAAATCCACGGAGAGACTGTCGTAGAGACACTCATTCCTCTCTGTCCACACAATTTTGACCTTATTTTAATAAAACACTTAATCAAAATTATAAGATGGACAATTTCAAGTGCTATTAAAATGGTGGCAACATTTTCTTAAATCTTTTATCTATTTTTTTAATCTACTATTTCAATTCAATATTAACTGTTGACATCTTCCACTGTGTAGGAGTTCATTTGCTTTCAGTTATTACACTTCTGCTGACAGCACTGTCAAACATTAGAGTTTTTCTCAGGTAAAACAGTGCCTAGTCCATAGTCACTTTTTTTTTTTTTTGCATTGACTGTGAGGTGTGATGGGTAAAAAAACCCCAGCACATTGGCTCATCACCGACGTGATGTCAGTGGTTGATGATCAAAACTGTCAACATCAAATGTAAAAAAAAGATGACGTTTTTGGAGGGATTATAAAATTTCCTTAAACTATGATTTGGTGGTAAAATTGACCAGTCCCCGATCAGGTCCGTCATCGCTGACACTGAGTGCTTGCTTGCCTAGACTGTGTGTTCGATTGGGTGACGCGTGACAACCCTGACAACGAGTGGCTCGCCCTTAATCTTAAGCAGTGGACAGCCCGATTACCTTCTGCTATACCTTCGTATAGTGTTGTGTAAATTCAGTGAACCGCAGGCAGTAACCTCTACCCCCACCATCACCACCATGTTTCCCTCGTGGTGAACAGTTGCCATGTCACAGTTGGTTGTCTCTGGATGAGTTCCATTGCTGCTCTGAATTTACATGTGTGCTAATTAGACTGGAAGAAATGATTGGCTGCTCACAACATTGCAGTAAAGAGGACATACACACATGCACACACGAAGAATGGACACATATGGACAGTAATGCACCAGTGCAAGACTCATCACACTGTGTCAAGAGACACACCTAGGTTGGGTTTAGGTTCCGTCACATGTGATTTACTCTCAGACAATTCTTTCTCCGTGGGTCTATATATCGAGTGTATGTCTCTTTGCGTGTATGCTGTAAAAATCCTTCTCTTAGTGCCCCTTTCCCTGAGGATTTTTATGTAGTGAATGGGTGGTTGATTTGAAACCCCTGGGCAAGCCAAAGGCCAAGGCCCCAGGGCAAAAGAAAAAAAACCCATTAAATATGAATGTATAAATCTGGTGAATTTTGAGAGGCAAGACAGAATGTGGAATATTTATACTGTATTTGTATAGAAATATTAGTGATCTGAATGTTTTTTTTCTGCAGTCCAGGAACCTGGATAATTCAGCTAACTCGTAGCCCTAAAATAATCATAGCTACAAATGTCATTATGAATGGATGTATGGGCTATATATAGGCTTGCAATGAACTAAACAGTCCAGGAGCTTTCACAATGACAGCAACCAGCCAAACGCCACAATAGATAAAAAAATACTTACAGAATACACACTAGATTCCTAAATGTCACCACATGAAGTAGAACGAAAGAGTGGACCTACATTACAAAATAATATAAATAGTAGTAAAATTGCTACAGTAGGAGAGCTCAAAGTTGTGACTGATGTTTGTCAAACTAAAATTTAAATTTAGACCAATCAAAATATTCCACCACTTTGCGGTGCAGCACTTCAATCTCATTAAAACCAACCAACCAATCTCTGCACTGTTATGATAATGTGCTTTAGTGAAGTACACGTGTAAATGACATACTTTATGGTTATGCTTCATGTGGTGCTTTGTCAGGGAACCCTTAGCCCTGACTATATCACGGAGCTTCTTGGTAATATTCCTAACTCAGCCTAGCAATAATAACTTATTGCCATGCGCTATCCCTGCTGCAGTTCTAGGTGCTCAGAGCCCCAGACTCTGCCAAATGGCCCCTTCTGATGTCTCTACTGCTGGCAGCCCACAGTGGGCTCTTTACCCTCAGATCCTCAGAGTCATATAGAGTGTGGAAAAAGTGAGAGGGAGCATATGGACACAGAAGGAGAGAGAGAGAGATGATGATGATGATGATGGTGATGATGATGGTGATGATTTCAACATAGCCATTTGGTGAATACAACCATTCCCATTTCCTCTAAAGGGTTCTTTTATCTTCTCCCATTCTGAGTGAGCCTAACTCCTTATCGCAGCATCCAAAGGGGATAATATTAGATGAGATAAATGCAATCTGCTTTAGTGTTAGATTCTCGCAGATTTAGCAACGTTGGATCTTTTAAGTTTTTCATTTTTTTTCCCTTCTCCTCCCCAGCTAATGATAATGCAGCACATTTTCAACTGGCGAGTGGAGACCCTAAAAGTGGGTCATGAGGTGTTCTGCCAGAGCTACAATTAGAAGAATGCTATTCATTGGACCATCATTTCATAGACAAGGTCAAACTGAATTACTGAATATAGAAACCTCTATGTTCATTACCATTAGTCTCAAACCAATGCAGAACACTCGGCCTCTATTCAAGCTTCAGCGAAAATGTTACACAAGGTCAGTTGTGCAAATGTACCGTCTCAAAGTGAGCTAGAGTGTGTGTGTGCGAGCAAAACGCATGTAAGAGTGGAATAACGTGCAACAGCACAATTTAAATTTTGCTGAGACACCAAAAGAGAAATACCTAAAGTGCAACAAAATCTCTCCTCTTCTTTTTTCTTCTCTACTTTTCTTGGATAAACACAATGTCTGTTTTTTTTTTTTTTTCACTTCTTCTAAAAATATGCACAAGAGCAATTTCCTCCTCAAAACTCTGCAAAGACTGGATTATTTATGCATGCAATAAAACATGGGCATGTTTACAGTAATTACAACTGTTCGTGCATTGCAAAGTCCGAACCATCTGTTTGTGCGTTTTAATAACTGGTTTGGATTTACTATATTTAATATTTCCTGTTGGCCATCTTCAAACAAATCTGGTGATCATTGGTGCAAGATGTTAGTACACTAATACAACATGTTCTCTGGGTCATGTTTAATAAATAATGTCTCTCACTGAGAATTATTTATAAACTATTTCACTGTAGTGAAAGACAAATATAAAATATTTCATAAAGCTTCCATTCTATTTCAATGTGTGTGTGATAACATCACAAGATTACTAACAATACAACAGCATTTCCAAAACCTATAAAATCTAGGTCTTCTATTAGAGCATTTTTTAAATACACAAAAATAAAAAGTATGTTTATTAGAAGAATTAATTTTTATTTAAAAGAACTTTATCTATAACAAATAAACTGCAATACTCTTGTTATTGTTATTTTAATAGAAATATTTTCATAAATCCTTTCTACTTTTATATTTTTAACTGCCACATCTGTTGGTTTCTAGAATAAAAACATTTTTTATTTTCAGGCATGTCTTTTTCACATTTTTACTAATTTCTTTTGCCAATTCAAATAATATTTAATCTAAGAAAATAGATTGATCTATTACAAATAGTAATGTATTTTATATTTTAAAATATGTGAAAAGCTGCACTAAGTTACACCCCTGTGACTTTCCCAACACTGAACAATAATTGTTCTTCAGTCAGAGAATATGCTAGAGTGTGTGAAAGAGGAGAAGACTAACAATAATACTACCTTCAAAAAAAGGGACAAAAACTGTTTTCAATTTTTCTCCACCTCAAACCTTCTGAGGTATCTATCATTCCTCCTGAAAAGCAAAAGG